AAATTGTATTTGCTGATAAGTTCATTGTACCGACCATAGAACTTACGAAATGATGACTTTAAACGAGACTGCTGATATTCTTGTTCCATCAATTTGCTTGTCAATAATTTACCTCGGTTTAGAAATTGTTCATACGCAGCACAGTTAAGTTACAAAAAGGAGGCGGAGCCTAATTTGTATGGGAAAACTTGACTATGACATCATACACAATATACGTCATACAAGATTTCTTTAAAATACAACAACATGAGTTTATCTGCTAATTAATTATACAGTTAGAAATCATCAAACTACATAAAAACTTACTACAGCGTGTTGTTTTGTTGTTAATTAAATCCCACAGAACAAGTTATAAACAAGTCACTGATCTCAATACACTTGTCAATATGATGTCATTTCTTACAACGTGACGTAGTTTGTATACAGCGAGAGACAGATAAAGTAATATTTTCTCAACAAAATATGTATTCTCTAATTAAATAAAATATTATTTACAGATATTCTATGGGCCAATAACTTGAATTTAATGTCTTCTTCACTATTAATATATTTTCTGTACATTACGTATTTAATTGACACTGCCGTATATTTGTATGCATGTACATCGGAGGGTAATGCGGAGGGTATAGCATTCGGTCATACAAGTATAATTTTAACAATGAAATTGCAGAATTTAGACAGGATCGCAGCACATTTTAGAAACTGCAATGCGTGTTGAAAATATTTATATACTGAACTTGGAAATTTAACTTGGTTATGCCCTTGCACTACTGTTATTTATATGTACCACCAATACTTCAAGTCGATGTGCTAAAATCGCGTGACAGCCGCATCACGTGACTAGTCTAAATATAATCGTCCTCGATATGTAGTTATTAATCATAATTACAATTATCCGATATAAATAACCTACTAAAAATAATCATCATCCCGATTTCAAATACATTTTTAAATACAAAATTTAGTCAATATTTCCATTGCGCACCTTAACTATACTGCGTATGTATAGCATGCTCTTGCGTATCGAATCAACTGAGATATATACACTCCGTATGCAGGTGATGAAGGTATATTGCTGCATAAGTAATTGGAGTTGACGATAGAAAAGTTAAAGTTATCATGTTTATCATTGAGCTTGGTATCTTTTATCGATCTCAAGCTCACCAGGATAATCGTATCGACGTAGGAATAGGAATTACCTTTTTAACTGACAATACATCGTTGATATGCTAGTATCACAGAAAGTGTTTTCTTCTTTTCAGGCATAAGATTTAGCAAGAATTCTGCTTTGTATGAATACAAAAATAGGTCTGCTAATAGCAGAGCGCAATTGGTACGCATGGGAATTCCAATACATTGCTGGAAGCCCTGGTCTCCAAAACCACATAGATATTGTCAATCAGAAACTCAAGTATCTTTTTGATGTTAACTTCAGAGTACCTGTGTGTGCAATCAGAATGTGTTTGAACCAAATAATTTTGCAAATGACCAATGACGAGGTAAGTAAATTTACGTGTCCAATTTTTATTAAAAAAAAAAACAGCTTTCAATAATATAAAAAAGTCTGGACTTTAATTTATCGTGGGGAATGATTGTGTATAAAGTTAAAAAGTCTAAAGTCTAAGGTACTCCGATCCTCAGGTTCTGAAAATCAATCATTGACTAATTGAAAATGCTCTGAATTTTCAAAGTAACGTGTTTTTACCCATAATAATTCTTCAAACTTCATCTTTCAAGTTAATCATATTAAAACAGAAAGTAAATCTCAAATATAATTTCAGGAATTGCAAATAAAAACATCTGCTATGTATTTTCAATTCGAATTTGATCAATTAACACATTTTTAAAATAAAAATCATAAGTATCCAGGCCTTTAAAGAAATTCCACAATTTTTATACATAGAAATAATGTACTTTGATTTCTTTTATTTACTCCCATCATTACCCCTCGCCTAGCTGAGTCTACCTCTTTTATTGACGAACCCTCCCCGGCAAGAAGCCACATGCCTGAAATACAGGTAACCAAAGAGGGTATTCAAAAATTGCTGAAAAACCTGAAAACAGACAAAGCAGCTGGCCCTGATCAGATTACGACAATCTTACTAAAAGAATTGCACCAAGAGGTACGCCCAGTCATCCAAATCCTCTTTCAACTCTCCTATGACACAGGTACATTACCCAGAAAGTAGTGGACCGCTAATGTTAGTCCATTATTTAAGAAGGGGGAGAAATCAACCCGGCCAATTACAGACCTATATCCCTTACCTGTATACTGTGCAAAACTATGGCGCATATTTATATAACATCAAACTTGGTAAGACATTTTACACAAAATAACATCCTATATCATCGCCAACATGGATTTATGGAGCGATGGAGCTGCGAAACCCAGCTGGTGATGCTAGTAAATGAGCTTGTCCGTAACGTTAAATACGGCAAAAGCTTCTGACAAGATCTCATACAATTAAATTACTTTTTAAACTACATGAGTATGATGTTCGAGACCGAAACCTAGCATGGATCAAGGGGCTCCTCAGCAACCATACCCAGAGCGTAGTTGTAGATGGCGAGTTCTCCACATCCATCCCCGTTACATGTGGGGTCCCTCAGGACTCTGTCCTTGGTCCCATCCTTTTCCTCGCTTATATTAACGATTTGCCGGAGCTTGAGAAGTCATCTACATTACTATGGATAGACAGGGATGTCAGTCAATGCTCCAAGAGAACCTCAAGCAACTAGAGAACCTTGTGGGACATTAAATTCAAACCAAGTAAGTGTCAGGTTATCCATGTAACGACATCCAGATACCCAATTCGTACCAACTACATACTTCATGGTCAGGTATTGGAGACTAGTGCCTCATCAGCTCGGTATCTGCGTGTCGATATATCGAATGACCTGAATTGGAGTAAGTACATTAGTCGGGTCACAAACAAAGCCAACAGCTCCCTTGGCTACTTACGCAGAAATTTACCGACCAGGAACCAACAGCTTCGGTCAGCAGCATACAAAGCAGTGGTACGTCCATTTGGTTACACTTATGAACCAAGTTGAGGCCGTATAGCGCAGACCTGCGAACATCAAAACTTAGTGTCTCATATATGCTACAAACCCTAGGTTGGCGAAGCTTACAACAAAGGAGGGGGGATGCCAGGCTTGTACTTATGTACAAGATCATGCATGGACTAGTAGCCATCCCCTCAGTTCAGTTCATTTCCCCCAAGTAGGACTACCCGTTCATTTCATTCCCTCATCTTTTGACAGATACAAACTATAAAAAATGTATATAAATATTTTTTCCCTCTTTCAATAGTTCAGTGGAACAGATTGCCAGGCAGTGTTGTCTCACTTCCACATGTTGAACATTTCAAACTGGAAGTGAGCAAACTGAATCACCCCAGACCTTAATTATATTACAGTATTTTTGTATCTTTAACTCCAAATACTGTTTTTCATCCATTTTATCTTCACTTATAACTTAATACTGTTCCCTTTTCACTGCCTTGAAATTGACTTTTCTTTACTTTTTTATATCTTTTAACCAGCTGCGCACCCTACTCAGAGTACTTGAAATTTGAGGGCGAGTAGTGTCGAGAGATAGGTAGATAGTTAAAAAGCAATGACTTTCGTAAAATGGGTCAATAGAAGTGTAACTCAAACTGCAATTCCTTAATAAAAACAGGTCGGGTGTATACGTACTTCCTTTTCATTCCTTTTTGTTTGACACTATATGCAACCCCAGATGGTTACCTTTAACGGTTTCTATTGTATATTTAAATACGAGCGTTGTCTCAAAAAGTCGTAGACAGGTAAAACAGTTTTGTTTCTCTTCGTTTTATTAAATTTCTTTCCTTGTCATAGCAAAGAAGAACATTTGATGATCATGCACTTCAAGTTTCATGATGATGTCACATCCTATAAGAAAATTATGAAAAAATAAAGAAAGAATATAAGTGTACACCGGCGCACGAAAGCAAGCGTAAATAACGTCTCTTATAACGTCATGATCCCTTTGTCTGCTTCACTTGCGGGTATTAACATTCAATATATATTTTTTTAAGTGAAAGACCACTCTTGATTAACGGATATATTTAAATTCACTACTGTCCGTTTGTTTTTTATTTGTTTTTTTTTAAGCTGATTCAAATTTCAGTCGAAATTTAGTCGAAAGATCGCCTTACATTGTAGGCAGAAGAGAATACGTATTGTTTGACGTCGTTGGCTGTCCAGATTGTTTTCAATTGTCTGCGTTTATCAAACAGTACTCTACTTCTTACATGCCGAAATTAACTATTTTCGGTACAGAAGAAAAACTCTCATTGAATATCGTGCAATTTAAAAATAACTTCTTTATTAAAATATGGTGTGTAATGTCACATCTGTACTCTTTTTCCCGTCTCCGATGTATATTAACCATATCAAACACAATTTATTATATTTCCGTGACGACGTCATTTTCATCAAACTCAATTTCAACGATACTATGAAAATCATGACACCGATCGTCTGTTTCTAATGATATTTATATGAAATTTTGACATAATACTAAGGTTTTTATTCTGGTTTCAGTGATTTAAATTTGAGTTCAATGTATTATATAGTACTAAAGAAATAAAAGCAAATGTAATAGTTATATGCGTAAATTATTCCGAATTTTGTCCGTGCGCCGACAGGCCTTATCGGCCTTTATATAAATAGTCTTAATATTATTAATATGAAAGATATGTATTTAAAAATTCACAATTTTAAAGAACATTGACTATTTTATGTCTTTGCAAAATTTGGTAAGTATTGGTTGCATGATTAAAAAATTATAAACATTGTCTACGACTTTTTGGGACAACCCTCGTACAGTTTATTCCTTGGTTTGTATCATTTCTAACTTTATGGAATCCAACTTCCCCAAAAAAGGAAATAAAATAAAAAGGGTCCTGAATAAGATATTGGTTGATAAAATAAAAACAAAAAGTCATTTTTTAGCATTTCTATACTTTATTAATTCAGGATTTTGTTCTAATCATCATCCTGGATGTTTTCATGTTCTCTCGTGATGTTCCCCAGTGTAAGTGGGTGATTGACTTTAATTGTTTTCCCGTATATTGTCCATTCAGGCTAGAGTACGAACAGTTGTTGTACCACCAAGCACCACGCTGATAGGTCTTTGCACATTGATCACCATACTTGTCATTATCACTGTCCTTTGTTGAGAACGGCATTCCATTTAAGATATGGCTACCAGTTATGAAATCTCCTTTAATGAGAATAAAAAAGATATTGTATGAAGTGTTGCAATTATACGTTATCAATATTGGACTTTTACGAGAAGCACTGACTTCTACAGTTGACGTTTACTTGGACATTTAAACTTGTATCATGTACGGAAGTACAGAATTGATAATGCATAAGAACACCTTTCTAGTTGTCATAAGTATGGTGTTATGGGCACTAACATATGAAGACCGGGAGTTGAAGGTAGAATGGTTAAATTGTCATTTTCTTCAAGGACAACTTATATGTGCATTGAAATAATCCTTCTTTTTAATTAAATTTTGAGCTAAATATTTATATCATGAAAGAGCTACCGTACATAGCCCTAGTGTAAAAGTAAGCGTCAACTGTAAAAGTCAGCGCTCCTCGTAAAAGTCCAATATAAAACAAGTGTATTCTGTCAAAATTATTATGGTGTAATAAGACCTAAAAATGAATTATAGACATTTTTGTATTTTTTTGCAGTACTTATGAAGCATTACTTTATACAGGGTTATTTTCGCCCTTTCTTACTTTCAAATTTACTACATTTTAAATTTCGCCCAGTCATAGTTTTATTTAAAAATTTATTCTGTATTCTTTGAATTCGCCATTTTATAAATTCGCCAAAAAGGGTAGGGCGAAAGGGTAAAAATAAAACTGAGGCGAAAATTTCCCTTATGAAATACGTACCGGGTAATACACAATTTAACTGCAAAAGGCACAGACCAGTGATTTGCTGATTAAGGAATAATGAAGAGGACGATTGTAATCTATGCCTGTATCAACTAATCTTCACTTTTTCACTTATCCCAAAATACATAATATATATCGGCACACAATTTACGTTCATCCACATTTCTTTGCAAAGAAAATTTACTGTAAATTGTATTTTTTATTGACCACGGGGTCATAATTAAACGGCATTAAATTCCTGTTCAATACACTGGTAGAACATTATGAGGATTTCTTAGATTGTCATTTTGATCTTAAATGCCGTTTAAGTATACTGTGTCAAATATCCGCAGAAAACCGAATCAGTGTATAAATTGTAAAAGAAAAAATCGACGCAAAAACAAAACAAAACATCTAAACTATTTGCATTGAATTTTATTTTCTCTACCCCCTCCCCTTTATGATAGTTCAATTATTGTTATACAAAATTTTTACTTAAAATTTCAAAAACAATAATAATATTACGGTTTCTTAAATTCCTTTCTACAGTTCTGCATAGTAAAAAAACCAATTTTCATTGAAAACCTTAATATCCATATTTCAATCCAAGTCCAACATTTTGTAAATGTTAAAAAATAATTCTGATTATTCACTTAACAATTCCTGCACAAAACATTTCAAAACTTTTGTAAGGGCGAATGTATGCCTATCATGTATTTTTTTAAAGGTAACAGTACGAGTAAAAAGAAGATAAATAATGTCTTCTTCAATGCCAAATAGATTCTCTGTCAATATCCCTTATTCTCTATATTTGAATCAATCCACGATATTACTGAGTTCTAGTGAAACATTTTTTTTTCTTTCTGCAGAAAGCGTTGTTTATCAAGTAAATTGTAAAGAAATGAAAACAAAAAAGAAAATACTCTATAAATATTATTTTCCCGAACTGTTAAACGAAAAATTTTTGAATATTCATTCATTGCGAGGAGCGCTGGCTTTCTTAGTTGACGGCTTACTTTTACATAGGACAATGTATGGAAGTTCATTTACGATATAATTATTTAGTAAGGCATCAAATTTAACGAAAATACAGCGTTATTTCAAAGCTCAAATAAGTTGCCCTTGAAGTAAACGTCAACCGACCTACTTTAACTCCCGATCCTCAAATGCCAGTGCCCCAGACACGATACCTTTGACCACTAAAAAGGTTTTCTTATCTATTATCAATGCTGTGCCTCGATACATTATACAGGTTTATATGTAAAGTAAACCGTAAAAGTCAGTGCTTTTTGCATAAGTCCAATGAGCATTATCTACTGTGAATTCACTTATTTTAATGGGGTTTTTATTAATTTGTTTTTAGGTATGGAAAGGCCCATCAATTGTAACTTTTTCACATAAAATACTACTCAATGATTCTTATCCAAGGAATCAAATCAACTGTTTTTCCACAATACTACGAAAAATTGACCCCACAAAAATTTGTAATTTTACAAAATCAAAAGTAATGTTCCCTACCAGCTGTCCCACTGTATCCACTGATTGACAGTTTATACTTTTTTGATTCATCACCAATAGAAAATTTTGAGTATTTTGCGTAAACTTTGGACCCAGAAAACTTCGTCATTTCTATACGTAGTTCTTGATCATCATTTTTAGTAAGAGCATGAATTAGGTCATTCCCTGTTTATAGTAAGATACATAACAAATACAGATATTAATGTGGTTAATCATTTGCATATAATATTTATAGTGAAAGAAGAATGCTTAATATGTTCATTCAAGTCACGGATTTTAAAAGTTTATTAAACATACCAATCCAAATTTCCCTAGAAATGTTCCCGAAACCTCTTTTGTAGTCATTCCAGTCACGATAAAAATTGGTTGTACCATCATACCTGTTTTGAATTACCTGTAATTCATTTTTGTAATTAATGCATGTTGATAAAACAGATTCAACACAATTCTATACATGTACTGAGAAAAAAAATATTCACCTGTGTATTTTTTTAATAGTTTAAACTCTTTGAAAGACTATTCCCTTTTAAGTATTTGTTCTCATCTAGACATGATGCATTTAATTTCGCAATTATCAAATCGAAATGTGAGTATAGTTACAGACCAAATGATTTTAAGCATAATTACCGTCCAACCCCCACCGTCGGTCGTCATGTCACAATACACCTTAACTTTATTTTTCCTGTCAAGGATGATTTTATAGATACCGTCCTTTTTCCTGGTAGAAGGGTCTCTTCTCAAAATATCAGCACAGTTTTTCCCGGTAACTGTAGCCAGAAAGTCAGAGTTTGTTATTAAAGATATTAAAGAAATGAATTTAATTTTTGAAGATTCATGAGGTTATGAACTACGACGCTTCGCGTCGGCATATTTCATGAAGCGTGTTAGCGCTTCATGATAAATATTCCGACGTGAAGCGTTGTAGTTCATATACCTCATGAATCTTCAAAAAAATTAAATTCATTTCTTATATTTACATTACTTTTTCTAATGACTTGCCATAAATTTACGCTGTTCAATTGTCATTTTTTAAACAAAACAGTGTGCACTATATTTTTTGACTTTTTGATGTCAAGAGCGGTATTATGACGTAACAATGGAGATATTCATGCTTATTCGTGATACATACCTAATGTAGTTCATGAGAAAATATACTGCATTTTATTTTGTAAAGAATCATAGGGAAATATTATTGGAAATGTAAATATGATGTAATATATGTCTTCAGAGTGAAAACAGTCTAATTTCCAATAAAATATCCCAATGAACTATTGATTGAATAATTTTTGTCCTTGTATCGATAAATAATTTGAATTAATCTTGATATATATAAATATGTTAGCACTAAATTATTATTTTTTGATATCTCAAAATGGACCTAGCCATGGCGACAAAGTATCTCACGTGCGGAAGACGACATTCACAAATAATGATGTAGATTTTTATATTCAGAGATCTTTTCTTTATTAAAATCAATCGGAAATATAAACCATTCAATTATCCGAAGTATCAAGCTGATCACTGTGCAAAGAACAATAAAATAGACTAGAAACTACGGAAGTATACACTTTCAATACATTCGGGACGGGCACAATAAAGTTTATTCTGTGGTTTGTTAATTGAATTTATCTATAAACAGTGACCTGATTAAATTGTTATATTAAGTTAAATTAATTTTTTTTTTCATTTTCTTTCTTCGCAATACCTTTCCGTGCCAAAAATTGCTCTAATGATATACCAAAAGGCAAGCGAATTTTAAAATGACGAATATCCATAACATGTTAGTTCATGAAAGTGTGAAGTCGATCGTACCATTAAAAATTCTTAATTGTGCAATTTTGTCAATAAGAATAAGGTCGATTGTTAACATACCGACTTTAAAGACATTCAAAATGGTTCCTGCAGGAAGCATGTAATTGGATGTTATATCCATGGACAGCGGAGTCTTAATCTTAGCAAATGATTTGGTGTGTTCCATGGATCAGAATTCAAGTAATTAGATATTTTATCTAAAAGAATTAATCCCTCACTTTCTATGAGATAATTCTATCATTCAGGCAATGACGGCTTTTTATTAAAAAACAAAACGAGGGCATTACCAGTCACCTGAGTATAATACAAATTTCATAGATGTCTTTCCTTGTCATAACTATACATTTAGTTTGTTTACTTTAATAGAATCCACAAGCAGACGAGAAGATTTTTGAAAGAAGTACTGCATTTTCTTTATGAATGAAACAGATATCTGTCCTAGCGCCAAAACCCCATGGCTCGGGCCATGAATTCTACAATTTGGGTAGAGGGGTCAATCATGCCAAAGGTTTAGCTGCTTGACTTCAAGGAGTAAAAAAAAATTACGTTTGCATTAATTTTCATGGTTTTAGCTCCACCCCTTAACCTCGAGGGGGCGGAGGAAATAAGTTTAACACTTTTACCCCTCTTCACACATAGATGCTTTGTGTCAATATTGGTTAAAATTGGTTCAGTGATACCAATCGTAACTTTTTTTTTTTTTTTTTTTTTTTTTTGTGAATTTTTTGTAAAAACTGGTTCAAATTTTATGCATAATTTTGATACTAAAAGCTTCGAAATACTTGCTTCATAAAAGATAATTTTGAAATGTGAATATCAGGGAAACTGTTTTACATCAAATGTACAAAAAGAAAATATCTGACTGAAGATATCTTAGAAGGAGTTATTGCCCTTGTCACAATTTCTCAAAGATTAAATACAATGTAATTGATTAAATAATGAAAACATACATTTTTAAAGTTTATATCTAAACAATATTTATCATTACACCTATTGAAAAGCATTATTTCAAAACACTTTGTTCTATAGGGTATGAATTTAAATTAATAAGTTTTGCAGAAAGACATGACATCACAGGAGGATGAAAATACCTTAAAACAAATCTATTATAAATTTTGTTTAATTCTGTGATAGACTTTACCTTTTGATTTTCAGGGAAATTCCATTGATTGTTTATAACTTAGCAATGATTTTATATGGGTTTATATATGCGTTGCTCAAATAGCATAAAGGAAGCGAAAACGTTAAATGAAAGACATAACTTCAGATAAATTGACACAAACCTAGATTTGTCACCATGGATTACTTTAACCAGAGACATCAAGGTTGGAAAGCCAGTAGTGGACAGACAATATCCAAGATATCAGCTGCAAGAGAGAAAAGAGAAAGTACACCATCAAATATGTGAAATTTTTTAAGGCGGCCTTCAGCCCTTTCTATATGAATCATATTTATTTATCTATATCTTGAGTGTCAAAAACATCTGGAAAAGAAAACTGACATGACGAAGACTGAAATGATATAATATTCCATCAGCAGTTCTTTTTCTCTCGTATAGAAGCCCTTGTCTGCTTTGACATCCCCTTCCATTCACACAGAGGTTAAGGCTAAATCATCTGCCAATCCTATATCTTTGCGCCAAAACCCTCTGAAACAAACGAAATAACACCAGAACGAGTTATACCAATCAAAATGTTTAAACGTGTATGCGTTTTAATGAAAAAAGATTGATTCTGATTTATCTAACTATCAGATTTCTCAATGAATATCTCTGTGCAAAAATGTTTTATGACTCTTAATTATGAAAAGAACGTTTCAAACGAGCATATTTCTCTGAACAACATCTAGGGTAGGAAAGGGATTAAGATTCTCCAGTTCCCTGTAAAGTAGGCAAATCTAAGTGGTGAAGTACTGAGGAGGGCTCTTACGGAAACACCAAAACGCTCTGTCCTGTTTTGTATTTAAAATGATTCAAATTAAACTTCAAAAACACGACGAAATACAACATACAATTTGGCTTATTTAAAAATACTTCGTACGTAACACTTTTAAAATTAACAGTTAAATTATTATGCTTTACCTAGATTCCTAAATGTATGCGAGGAATCTACAAGAAGCAGTAATCAGAATTTGAAACTACTCCCTTTCATTTTTCTGTGGCAGAAATACATGTACAGGAAATAGGTCTTGATAAACAGAACCATTTATGAATTCAATTTTTAGCAATTTGTTATATTAAGAAATAAATAAGAAATCACGCACAGTATTCAAGTTGAAACGTCTATTGAACAATAACAAGAGGCCTAAGGGCCTTATAGCTCACCAGAGTATAGTGTAACAACTTTCCAGCTAATGAAGTTGGTTCTTCTTGTTTTGACCTAAAGACATGATATTCACAATTTTTAAAGAGCTTTCGCATAATTATTAGAATAAGAGCATAGCATACTTACTTTGGTTACTCAATATAAAGATGTTGATCAGAGTAACGTTTACGCAGGTTGTGTATTTTTCTGCAACAGCTGTAACATTCATTTCCGTACTAACGAGCAACGAAAGCATTTTATTGTTAAAATTAACCAGGAGCAAAGGAAAAGATTTTCAAAGAATTCATGATTGTTCACCATATAATTATTTAAGCCTTGCCCTAAAACCAGAACCCCTGATCCAGGGACCCTGAAATTCACAAATTGGAAAGAAGCACCCTTCCACATCAAAATTATGAACATGGTTCATTGATTTGATACCTAGGAGCAGAGGATAAGATTTTGAAAAAAACATTAATGCTTTTTTACTATATAATCAATAGAGCCCCTCCCTAACAACTCAAAATGCAGGAAAGACAGACGTTGCAGCTTCTTGTTGAAGATGTTGTATACTTGTTTCCTGGCAAATCACTGTTGGTCAAATTTTTTTTTTCAATTTGAACCACACATCCATACAATTCCTTCCTTTAGTACGTCGGCGCACGGCTGACTGACCGACGCCAATTTCAATTATTGGTGCTCTTTGGGGATAATCATTTCTGCATTTTTTTCTTTATTCAATTGTCTCTGTTATATTTTGCGTACACGTTGGGACCTAGGTGTTCTTTGGCAGGTGAGAGTGACTGCCTCCAGAACTTCGCCCCACAGACGTCGGCACTCCGATAGAGATGAGGACATCTCATTCTCTGGAGGGGGACAATGTGGTAGTATTAGATAAACAGCATCCTACTAGCTTGGACTCGTGGGTTAACCTTTTAGCTCAATTGGTAGAGCACTGGACTGGAAAGCCAAAGGCCCCGGGTTCAATCGCCAGCAGAGGCAAAACATTGTCTCTGTTACATAAGAAATGTTAGACTTTTTTATATAGATTTTTTTAGAAACAAATTTTTAATAAAGGTATAACAAGTAGATGGTATAATATGCAGTTCATACACAGTTGTATGTATGTTTTACATAAAATAAACTAAATAACTGTTAACTTTGTTAATATTATTTACTCTCGCCTCATGAAAAGGTACATTTGTAAAATTCTTTGTGTGGTATAATAAATATGAAAATCATATAAAACAATATATACTTAATATATTCCTATTGAATGTTTCTACGTTTACAAGGAAATATTATAATTCAAGCAGGGTTTTAGAAAATTTCAAAAGATATTTGAAACGCTTACTTGATAAACGTACACTCTTCTGCTTTCCTTTCATATCGTCACGATTCAAACATTTTACAACGCAGCGAGAGCGTACCATCTTTCGATGAAACCGAAAGCGCAAGAGTCTATAAACATAAAATTGTCCTGCGGAAATATTTGTATGCATGCGCGGGCAACAGTCTCCTAATTTTCGTAAAAGGTTTTCAATCAGCATACATCGACTAATTCGTAGTTTATCTCATTGTTTGATGAAGACGACGGAATCAGCCGAGATCTGCCCAGTGGAAAGGGTCTATAACTGGGCAGCATTATTATACAAATACGAGTCATTATCCTTCGCGATTTATAAAGCTTAAACTGTATTATGTACTTGCATTATTTATTGAACAACCCTCGTAATTTTATAGTGCAATTTTAGCCGAACAGTAAGTTATTGTAAACCTATCTAGTTCTAAAAATGTCGTGAGGTAATTTTGAGGTGCAAATGGAAGCTTCGAAATCGACAAGAGGATCAACTACATGTATGAACTTCTGGAGCAAATTATTTGAAAAGGAAAATATCGCTAGAAAAAAAACTACATATTTGTAATTCTTATTTAAGTAAGTTAGTGTTTGATAAATTGATAAATAATCGCTTGAAGTGAGAGTGGCTAAAATGTAGCAAGGTACTTTGTGATAAAAATAAGAAGGGGTGTCCTGTATACGAAAAAAGTGCCTGTGCAACAGTACGTACATTCTACAAGAACGGCGGTGTCCATTTCTGCGGCTGGAGGTACATCATTGGAGGCCACGCACTGGTAGATTCCGTTACAGTAACGACTGACGTTATGTATCACCAGGATTTCACCCTCCATCCCAATATCTGTAAATGAATAAATTTGTCCAGAGGACATGAATGTCCCGTCGAGGGTATTTTACTAATGCAACATGAAAAGGTGTATTAGTGTATGAAATTTGATCAGAAGATCTTGAATAGTGATGCAGTTGAATTGTTTACATCTCTATGTATCAGCATATAAAGTTTGACACTAATTTAACAAAATTGAGGTCGAAGGAAATGCCAAGACCAAAAAACATTGATGCAATTGAAAAGATCTCTGTATCAGCATATGAAGTTTGCAAAATTTTATGAATGGTTTCTTTAAAACTAACTCAAACACAATTTGATAAGTGAGGTCGAGGTCAAATGAAAGGTCAAGGTCAAAAATATTAGTGTAGTTGAATTGCTTACACAAGTGTGTATCAGCATATGAAGTTTGACATTTAATTAAGAAAAAATGAGGTCAAGGTCAAAAGGAAAGTCAAGGTAAAAACGTTGATGCTCTCATCAGTATGTTTCAACATATGAAGTTTAAGGACAGACGAGACGTTCCTTAATAATAGATAAATTTTTGTCATTGAAGTATTGCTACTGAAATATGTTTACTCACAAAAAATTGAGGTACCTTACCAGGCATTTCTGCAAGATACCAGGGGTAGTTTTTCTTATATAATCCTTTGGGGAAGAAAAATAATTTTACAATTTGTTATGATAAAGTGTTTGAATTTTTTTTAAAAAGGGTTAGAAACTGGTTTAGAAATCAGAATGTTGCTAAAATTTTGAATATTTTTCATACATTACGAAGATATACAAAACAGATTTTGAGAAACGTCTCGTCTGACCTTAATAAAAATATCTTGAATGATTTCTTTAAAACTGAGCTAAACAATAATTTAAGGAAAGTGAAGTGGTCCCAGAAGGGAGGGGAATGAAATCCTTTGAAATTTTGTTTCCCTTCACCCATAAATGTTTTATGATAAAATTGGTTTAAACTGGTTGCGTGATTGCAGAGAAAAGCCGAACATTTTCAAATGTTAACGCACAATGCACATTGACGCACGACGACGGACGAAAACGGATAGCAATAGGTCACACTGAGTTTGTGTATTACAAGCTTTAGACCCTCTAGACATATACATGTATTACGGGTTGAAGAAGGTAGACGTGTAAATGAAAATAAAAATTACAAAATATGCTTATTATGTGAGTTGAATGATATAATAGAAGATGGATTCCATTTCACATTAAAATGCCCTGTATATCAAGATATCAGAATTCAATATATCAAACAGTATTATGGTAAAAAAAACTACTGTCTTTAAGCTAATACAATTGATAAGTGTTCAAAATGTCAAAGAAATGTCTAAATTGGGAAAATATTTGCTCAGCGCTTCACAACGAAGAAAAATTTATTAAATTGTTTGTAAAATTTGAAATAAGCACAAAACAATGTGTAAATTTATATGTTTTATCGATGTGTGAAGTTTCATTCCATTCGTTTAAACGGAAATCAATTTACTTTTGTTTAAAATCAACTTGTTTTGGAACCGCGGAGCACACTTAACGGAAATGTAACGTCAAAACATAGCCTCAAGAATTCCTAAAAAATAACATCAATATACATTTCACAGAATATAATCAAATGTCCTGCCATTAAATTGTTTTTCTAATGCTTGACATGTATTTTTTTTTGCGTTTTTTGTATAATTTCCTTTTAAATGTTTCTATTTCTTTTATTACATAACTTTGCTTTCACAGGATAAGCAACTCTGAAGAGCCTATGTCTTTCCTTGACGTTCCAACTTTTTAAAGTTTTTGTTCAGATTTTAACAGTTTAAAAACTGTTTCTTCACAGATTGTCCTTATCCGACACAGAGTCTTTGTCACTCAAATACTGCATGTTCAATGTACACACTAGCGCAAATCGCTTATGATATAGTTTTTTTTCACTCCTCTAACAGTTTTAGAGTTTTTCCAGGATTTTTCCTGAGTAAAACAAAAAAAAAAACCATTGTCTTCTGTTCAATGACGTCCTAAATTGTCATAGTTTTTGTGGTTTTCAATAAGGACTACCTATTTTCTCAAGTTGAGTTCTGTTCAACAAAGCAAAATATTAACCGTAATTTGGAATACGAATCAATGTCACAATTCTAAATTTGAATTTTAAGATTGTTTTTCGTTTTTGCTCCAATTTACAGAAAATATGACTACAGGCATTATCTAGTCGTTTGAAACTTACTAAATGTTGACCTGCTCCGCGACCCGCTTTTTGCATTTTTCAAATCAGATTTTTCTGGATAAGTTTTGAATACCTGGTAAGTTGTAAAATTAAAAAAAAAATGCATACAAATCATTTTAATTCATTGTTCAAATATTTTTTCCAATTTGGATTATATATGACGTCAAATAAAAAAGATACGACAGAAGTCCACGAACTTTTCGAGCAATCCTGGTATGTTTGTAAATATTTATCATATAACTGAAAGATATGAATATATGTATTGTTTATTATACATGTAAATGTCTGATGTGTCATATGGCATAAGGAAATAAAGATTTGATATTATATCAGAAGAGAAAAGAAGTTGATAGTGTGCCTTAGTTTTACTGTTTAGTAAAAGGCAATGTATTTACACACAGCTCTTTACGGAAACTACCATCAGCACATGTGCAGGGGATTGGGTGTTACGTGGTTTCTCCACCGTGTAAATGCATGAATCTCTTTCTCCGCTTCCCTGTCGTTTTATCTCTGATGTTACATTTACTATACCTGTCAATAAACAGTGAATGGGACAGGATGAAAAGTGAGTCGTATGAAGTAATAAATGGCTTCCGTCATGGAATTTATGCAGAAAATAAATTCAAATTAGTAATGATTGTTATATTAATTTGATGAATTCCAAATATTACCAAATATTACCAAATCTTTTAATTCCCAAAAAAACAAAAACAAGAACAGAAAAAACATGCACACACCCCATAAAACAAGAGGTCCATTGACCACATCGTTCACCTGAGAACACTGGCCAGGAAGAATCAGATCGGTATTGAAAATCTTTAAGGAGAGGAGACAAACTTAAATTTACACTACCTCGATCGGGACGCTTCTGTATCAATATTATTAATCAAGGCTTTCCTGTTTTCAAGCAGGAGAATTTAAAATACCCCCTATGTATCCCTACGTAAAACTCTGATTGTTTATTGTTGTCCTATCTACCCACCCTAAATTAAAAAAAAACATATGTGAAACTTATCAGGAGTACTAAAGTAACTATTCATTCTATTATAAGGCTATATTTTTATTGGACTTTTTTTTTACATTAATCAAAATATATTGTTAAAATAAATACATCATAACACACGCTTTTTGATATGATAATAACGATAAAGACTGGGAGGGGGTCGAATAATTTAGTGGGTTGTATGTCCTTAGTTTAAGATACATCCGTTTGGAGTACCATGAAAAAGGGCAAAAATGAACTTTGACATCTTGAGAGGTCGAAGGTCAATAATGCAATTGTAATAGCTTCCGTCAAAAAAATGAATCTACACTTCACATGTATGATTCTTTAATAAATGACTAATTATGGCTTTGTGATTCTTGAGCAGAAGATTTTTTTCAAGATAATTCCTATATATTCTTATGCAAAGCTTTGACCCTTTATTTTTCCCCTAGCCCTGAAGGGGGTCATAATTTCAGCAAACTTCATTCTATAATACCTAAGATTGTTTCTATATTAATATGACTAAGACTGGCTTAGTTGCTCGTGAAATGAAAATTTCAAAAATATTTCCCATGTAACGTACAAGGAATATACATGTATAGGATTTCCTTTAACTTTGTCTGAGTTAGTGAGTGGAATGATTATTAACACAGCTCTGTCTGATTGTACATCACAAAATACATAGATTTTCTTTTATTTAGAGATGGGTAATGTGTAAAATACTACTTGCATCATCTTTCTACCCTATGTTCCCATTGATAGATAAATATTCTTCCTTTTTACTACACCCATAACTTAACATCATTCCTCAGGAATTCCTCAAGGATACTTGTCACTAGTGACTTTTCTACGTTTATTTTGCTTTTTCTCCACAAGTTTTCCATCCCGTATTCTTATGTATCCACCACAAACATGATAATTTGATATTCATTTGAAGCATTTTACAGTAGAAAAAGATTTCTACCAAGAGAGTGTTTCAAATATGTATATGTAGAAATAGGTACTTTTGAAATACATATTAATTGAGGTCTATCGAGCACTTTTTTGAAAATAAAAAATTCAATAATATCAATAAATATGGGAAAATGCACTAAATCACATAATGAATAGAATGTCAATCAAAATCAATCATTTTACTAGTTAATTTTTTTTTAGATTATTTTTTATTAATGTAACAAACTTGTGTGATGGTGATGTCAAATATACAACAAGGCCGTTGCTTTTGGTGTGAGAAAGACCGTCTATTTATTATGATGGAATCAATAACAGTGAACCGTGCGAGCACAAATTCTACACAGTCGCTATTTTTTGGAATATCACCCTTCGTCAAGCACTGTTGACTGTTGCTACGTTGGAGAACGTGGCTTTCATTATTCAGCGGGCAATAGAGTGTTTTAACAAATGTTTCTCGACCAATCAGATTCAACTTATTTACATGAAAGCATAATATATTGAAATAACAAATTATAAATATTTAGCATAAAAACTAAAAAGCCTTAATCATGTTAATCAATAAACATGTACAATCAATATATCACATAACTTTATAAGAATCAAAGGAACAAATAAATTACTCTAATGCGCTGAACAGACAGTATTTCGATATACAAGTAGTTAAATACAACACAATAATCATAAAAACCTAAAACCTAAAACTATTGTACGAGATCGTTACTAACATAAGAGTAAGCTAAAATTATTAGCTGCTAGACTAAGATCAAGATGAGATCAACTTAGAAATTTCACACAATACAGGTTGTGCCTAAATAAATAGTCTGAGGACCAAAAAACTCGATACCTTGTTCAAAATAAAAACAATTACTCGTCGTATGCTATCTTAAAAAGATGAGTTTTTAGATCCCGTTTAAAGCTAAAAGTGACGTCTGGAAACGGAGAGCATCCGGTAAGCCATTCCACAAAGTTGCTGCTGCATGATCAATGACACGTTCCATATGTCTCCGTGTGAACACGAGGTTTCACAAGTTGTTTAGAGTCATACGAGCGAAGAGTCCTTGACGGTTTATAGACTGTTATGAGTTCCTATAGATATGATGGTGATGTTCCCTGGAGTACTTTGAAAGTGTATAAAAGGATCTTTAATATGTTCTGAATTTAACTGGTAGCCAGTGAAGAGATATCAGGACTTCGGTGATACATGTATGATCATGCTTCTTAGTTCGGGTGACAATCCTTGCTGCCGTATTTTGTACTCTCTGTAGCCGTGATATATTGGTCTCTGTGTAACCGAGCAGTTAATGGCAAATGATAACTCAGATGTTGGTATCCATTTTATTTATTGAAGAATTAGAATAAAGACATTGACCTATAACAAATACAAAGAATACATTAGAAAAAAAAATACATATAGTTTCATAAACATTGACAATAAGTTACCGTTTATGCAGTATACATATAGAAGATAGAAAAATGTACTGTAGCAAAATGAACTTTGAACCTACAGACAAAATATAAGAATTTACAGAGACAACTTTAACTGCAAAAATACGATAAAGTATAAACTTTGCAATTAAAATAATATGTCAACGCCAAATCTTTAATAGTAAAGTAACAAATAATTAAATATGAAAGTTACATACCACAAGATGCATTGGATATCAGCCGGATATAATTTCTTCTTTAAAAATGTAATACTGCCCAATTTTGCTTAGTTTGAACGGTTACTTATACTCAAAGTAAATTAAAACTATTGGATAATATCAAATGAGCCAATGAAATTGAAGATAAAGATATTTAAGTATAATTTAGATGAAACGAAAAATAGAATGATCCCAAAACGAATAAATACATAAGATAAATTATAATAGTAAATTTGGTCTACCACATCTGTAATTCCATAGAGTAGTCCATTTCCATAATCAAGTCTTGATGTAACTAGAGCAACAACTAGAGTCTTGCAAGCATCTTCTGTTATGAATGGACGAATTCGACTTATATTTCGTAGGTGGTAAAAACAGGATTTGGAAACTGTGCTAATCTGATTCTCCATTGTAAGTGATTTGTTTAAAAAACACTACCAAATTCTTCACACAATCTGATTCACAGATGACAGAATCATAAAAAATCAAGTTGGTGTGTAAAAGATCTTTTAAGCTGACTCTTTGGTGTAAAAACAATAAACCCAGTTTTATCCTGGTTCAATTTTCGTAGATTTGCGCACATCCAACTTTTCACGTTAGCTAAACAAGTTTCTAGTCGATTTTTCAAGTCTCGCCATGTTTCGTAAACAAGGGACTATTCAGTGGGAATGGGTAATTTATAACAGCATTTATATATAAGCTGCATACACTAGACAGCTACAGGGTATATATAATATTTAAAATCAACAATAAACAATCTTAAAAAAATATATGTGGCTTTCTGCCAGGTCGCTGCTTAGTGCTCCCTTGTTTACACACACGTGCAAGGTGATTGTTTCGTCCGCATGATCAACACTCTTTGCCATAAACCGGACAATGTGCTTTATTCTTACGTTGTCGTAAACCACAGTACTCACAACTTACTTATTGTTTGTCTCTAGGACCTTTCTTCAGTTTGTCTGACAATGGTTTAGTTTTTTTTTACAAACTGCACTTTTTCTATCACTCGAAGTTGTGAACTTGACTTCTCACTGGCTCTACAAATGTCAACACAACGCCTTTCTCTTTTAACAGTTTCTTTCTCGTGTGATTGTCCCTTATCCCGAGAACAATCCAATCTCGAATCATTTCTTCTTCCAGTTCACCGAATCTACAGGTTTTCACATAATGTTACAACATAGCTGTCAATTGTTTCATTCACCTCTTGCTCGTGTGTCACATTTGTCTGACCTATGCAAATGCACTCTGGTACTTGCAGTACTTTGACATCTTTCTGATCTTCATCGTCTCCAAACATAAGACCATCATAAACCGACAATTTATTTAAAATTTAAAATGGCGTCAATTTGTAGCCAATTTACTAGTACCTCGGATGTCCAATATCACAGGAATAGGAATATTCGTTGGGACGTACACTCTCTGTGGGTCTACTACAACACCCTCTACCTGATTTTCCCCATCTCCGTTATTCATGCCGAAAAAGGATGGACAGCATTCACCAAAATAAATGGTGCACATCTGTATTTCTGACACCATGTAACGTTTATTTAGAAAAGAAAAACATACAGATCCTCTGTTGTGGTCCTGCCCTATCCCTGGGTGACATGATTGGAACAAACTTGAATCTACACTACCTGAAAAATTCTATTTTGATATGACTAATCATGGCTTTTCTGTTCTCGAGAAGAAGATTTTTAAAGACATGTATATCATATGTAATCTTATGTAAAACGTTGACCCTCTCTTGTTGCCCCTCAATATACACCCTCCCAGGTAATGATATGAACAAACTTGAATCTATAGTATGTAATGAAGGTATCACAAAGTTTCACAAATTCTTAATTACCTCCCTTGCAAGAGGGTATGACACTTCCCGGAAACAAACTCCTCCCAAGGATGCTTTTTGGAAAATTTGGTTGAAACTGGCCCAGTGATTTTGAGAAGAAGTCCAACATGTGATAAGTTAACAGACGATAGAGGAAGACGGACGCTGAACTCTCTTTGATCAGAAAAGCTCACTTGAGTCTTTGGCTCAGGTGAGCTCATTATAAATACAACTCAGATTATTGCTAGATTACATCATCTATTTTTCACCTTCCACTGTGTCTTTTAGAGGGCGCCTGTACCACTTCACTCTCGGCGTGGGAATTCCCGAGACGATGCAGGTTATGTTGACAGTCTCTCCTTCTTTTGTTAAGATCTCTTTCTTTTTCCCGATTTCATTTTTGTTTAGAATTTGTGAAGGGACTGCATAAGAGAGATTTAATGAAGTTTTATGCTGAGAGAAGAATACTTCCCATGGAAAACGTTACAATTCACCAATCAATGCATTCTTTACCCGAGTCTTCTTAAAGATCGCACTTGTACTCTTATACATTACAAACAATCAAAACATGTTCAATATAAAGAAGACAATAAATAAGAAATAAAGAGTAAAATTTTTTTTTCAAACATTAAATTAACTCGTCAGAAATAGTTTAACTCTTTGTGTTAATCCCACAACCATAACTTTGATATCTAGACATATAACGAGCGCTTACTCCAGAAGGTCGTATGATATAATCTCGGTAGTCCGAAATATCTTAACGTTTTCCAGGCTTTTTCACGATTGTGATGTTTTACATGCCAGAAAAAAAACGTCAGAACCGGTGTAAAGACGAATAATGACCCCCATCGAATAATGACCGGGGGGGGGTCATTTTTCAACGACAAAAAATGACCCCCTACCCGTAGTAAAAAGTCATTTTTTGTAGAATAAGTGTCCTAGGGGTCATTATTTTATATGTTAGTCCTATAAAAAATTGACCCCCATTGAAAAATGACCCCCTTTAAAGTGAAAAGAGATTCTTTAATTGTCAAGTAAATAAAATTTCTTTTTGATATTCCTCCTTATAGTGTTTCCTTAAAGACTGATATTCCACTTGTTTTTAGAAATCAAACCTGCAACAATCAGGTTCCAATACTCTTTAATAGAAAAATTATTTTTTCCCTTCATTTCAATGTTTAGTTTGTATAAATTTGGCAAATCCTATTTGACAATGAAAGAGGAGGAAATTTTTACCCCCCCCCCCCCCCCAAAAAAAAAATACGCTAAATCTAAAAAAAATGAAAGGCAAAAATATCAATAAATCTCTATACCTTTCAATAATACTGAAAGAGGCTCTAGATAAAATATTGAAATGAAGTTAAGCCTTCACACAAGTTCTATCATATCATAATTTACTTCGCCATGATTAAAGCATACTTTAAATGTAGGTGGGTGTTTACTTGAAAGTATTGTGGTAAAGTAACAGTTGAAAATTACTAGAATAGTAGATTATTTTAAGCTTATTTTTAGTCCTCCTTATAGAAAAATAAAGGTAGAGTAGTTTTTTTTGTTGCTTTTGTTGATAATCGACTTCCTCCTAAATAAGTAAGGGGGTGGGGTGGGTATAACACCTAAAAATATGCTCTGTAAAGCTATGGGCTAGTGTAAAATACACATTCTAATGCAAAAACTATATAGACATAACCTTTTGATTTAGCACACAATATTTATTACATTTCTTAATTCTTGTTTTACTCCAAACTTTTACCCAGTTCTGAGTATATTTTTCAGAGAATATGAAAATCAGAACAAACATTTTCATTTTTGTAACGTCTTCTTTATACTGTATCATAATATGAAAAGTTAATTGAAGACCATTTCTTTTAATGTTCCTGTAATCGAAGATTCGGGGGTATATAATTTTATCGTGCCCGTCTGTTTGTCTGTCTGTCTATCTGACGGTCTGTTTCTCCGCAAAAACTTTAACCTTGACCATAACTTTTCATTTATTGTAGCTTTGCCTTTCATATTCAATATGTGTATATTTCTTGTGACAAGACCTTACTTTGGGTACCACCAAATTTGACCTTTTGACCTTTACCTTGGGGTTTGTCCCATTTTACACAAAAATGCCAAATTTTTAATTTACTTTGGCTATAACTTTTAAACAGTAGATACTAGTACTCTCATACTTCACAAACGTAATCCTTGTTACATTAAACCTTTCTTAAGAAACCATCAACTTTGACCCTCTGACCTTTGAGTTTGACCTACCTTTCGAACACATATCCTTAGCCATTAATTTTGAACAGGTGGTGCTAGGGCTTTCCTATTTTGCAATTGTATTTCTTGTGAGAAGACCCTACTTTGGGTACCATTATATTTGAATTGCAATTAAGAAAGTTTATTCTTCGCTATGTTGCCATACAGGGGTAAAGCTGTTTCATAAACACATCTTTTGATATATAAGAGGAGTTGCAGATAACAGATGGATACCCCAAAGCGTAACAGACGGACGGACGGACATACCGATCAATATATACCCTCCCGCTTTTCAAGCGAAGGATATAATAATATATTATACTGCTGTTTTTTTCTGTCAGTTCGATGATTTCCACCATCGAAATCTTTACTCCTTTAGATTCTGAATCATCGCATTGGCCTTAAAATATAGCTTTAATCGTATGTTATGAGATCAACATATATCATCAATTTATTCCAAAAAAGTTCAGGTGAGCATTTTGGCCAACATGCTTCTTCATCTAATTTTTTTTGCCCCCTAAAAATTTCAGCTTTAATCCATAGGGAGTCATTTTTCTACGGGGGTCATTTTTCTTTACGTGGGTTGTGCAAATTTTTAGGTTGGTGACACTTTTTTGACGGGCAAAAGGGTCATTTTCTACGTAGGATATTGACCGGGGGTCAGTTTTCGCTGTTGAAAAATGACCTCCGGCCATTATTCGATTGGGGTCATTATTCGTCTTTACACCGGCGCCATTATGAAAACTGGAAAATTCGCCGTTTCCGATAAGAGCCTTTTTTCGATACTTTCGAACAAAATTAAATGGCGAACTTACAAATTAGCAATAGCACAAAGCCTCGAGTACTAGCCAATATCGATGAAAAGAAAATATAAATCCCCATTTCGATACAGATCTTGCATGATTTTAAAATGCACAAAATGACGACAAACCTCGATGGTATTATAAAATATTTTAACCGGACTGAATATTTTATAAACTACCAATAAAAACAATGTTGGTGAGTACTAATAGCATTGTTCCACTGATAAATTGTGAATTCAGCATTTAATTCGGTTCACAAGTATCGAGAATCAAGAGTCGAGAGTCACGCCAGACATTGCCACGATAAAGATCCCTCACTGCTAAATTGTCCTTAGTGACAAGTAAAGGTCTAAAGAACTTACTCGGTATATTGAATATCTTTTCCCCCACAAAAATTAAATTTTGAAAAATTCTTAAAATGTGTTGTATTGTATAAATTGTATGAAAAATATAAATTTTCAAAACATATTATAGTTTCAAAGTAGGTTATTGACAATTTTTTTTTTAAATTATGACGTCACAAACTCGTCGGATGTTGCATTATTTTTCAGAAAAAGGACAAAATGGACAAAATGTCAACGATTTTATTTATAGAATTTATAGAGCACATGTCTGTTCAGGAACGATATTTGCATATTTAATTGATATTATTATTCTACACATTATTTCAAAATATTGAGCCTGAACACACCTGCGCTCGGTGATTTTTACTCAAAATATTGACGCAATTTTTACATTTTTCTATAGATATCATGGAAATTTTAGATTTACGTCATTTTCCTGATGTCATTTCAAACATATGACGTCATTGCTGACAAAAATATTCAGTGCTCTGAAGTCAGCATGTATCCCCCTGTTTTAAAACATAATTAAATATTACTCCGTCAAAGTTTGATTTTGTGGGCAAATATTGGTTACTACCGAATAAAGTTCTTTAAAAACTGTCACTGGTATATAGTGACGTCTTTTTATGATTGAAAATTACGAATGAGATTCTCACTTTTACATGGCACCTGATACCACCTCTGATGTTTTGGAGGTCCGTGTTTGCTCTGATCCTATTTTTTATTGTTTTGATATTTAACCTTGAATACTGTTCGTTAACTTCATATATTTCTCGTAAAACAACGTACAATCAATCAATTACAAATAATTACTTAAATTCAGTATTTTAAATAGTGATCCAAAGAATGCCACTGTTGCATTTTGGAAATTAAGAATATCATTTGCTATCTTTATTTATTTTTTTGGTTGCTAGCACTGTCTCTGGGCTGCCGTGTTCATTCAAGGATAACTTATTTAATTTTTAACTTTATTTACTATATCTTTTACATATCTGCTAAATAATATAAAGAAGTGCTGAAAAAAAAATATAACTTACCTAAAACTTTAAGCTCCACGAACTTAATTCTAACCGGAAATGTGTTGGTCTTACAAGTATAGCACCCGCTATCTTCTACTTTGACATCTCGAATTAATAGATTCCAATCTGAGATATAAGGTCTATCAATTTCCATTCTCTCGTCATCAATGACTCGCTTTTCTTGAAGAGTCAATAATGTTGAAAATTTATCCAACCAAAGGACCTACAAATTTAATATTTATCTAAATAATAATAGTCGAAGCAGGAAAATGTTAAAATTATAATTGCTACTATAGATTCCTTTTTGCGAGAACTTATTATTGCATAATGGCACTTTACTGTCGAATCACATTAAATTCGCGAAAAGATGATTGATCAAGAGATTTTTCATTTATTTCAGCACCTTTAAAAAAAGTAAAAGCGAGTAATTTTATTTTGAAAACCGTGCTTATCGTGAAATCAAGCGATAATTAATTCTTCGCGTATATTTGGGAATTTACATATTTCTAGAGAAAGTATCGTAATGGTATCTCATTAGGTAGAGCGAATACACAAACAAAAGGACAATGGGCCTTATAAGTCACCTGAGTACTATGTAACAACTTTCATTCGATTAAATTTGGTTCCTGTTTTAAACAAAAACCATAAAATTCCAATTCTGAAAGGGACACCATTGTTTATCATAATTTTACACTTAGCATGCTTACTTTGGTTACTTAATACACAGAGGTAGACCAGAGTCAGAAAAAGAAAATGCATGTCCATTTAATATCCACCAGTTGAGTACCCCCATCCCACAGGAACGACTAACCCTGGGGCCACACCTTTCAAAATTTTGGAAATTTTATCATAAATTTGATTTCATCATAAATGGTTGATTTATACCAAAGAGCAGATTTCAAAGCATTTATTAATCTTCAGACAAAGTACCCCCCGGTACCCCTGGCCCAGGGGTCCTGAAAATAGTCATTTTGGAAAAGGAAATTTTTCTTCATCATAAATATTAAGTAAGATTATTGGCATAATACCCAGGAGCAAAGGAAAAGATTTTCAAAGAATTTATGCATTTTCACTATATTATCATTATAGCCCCACCCTAACACCAGAACCCCTGACCGAGAGGGCCCTGAATTTCATAAATTGGGGAGAAGCATCCTTCCTCTATAACTTTGGACTCTGTTAGTTTGTTTGATACCCATGAGCAAAGAGAAGATTTTAAAATAATTGATGCATTTTCACTATATAATCAATCGAGTCCCGATCTAACACCAGAACCCCTGACCTTGGGGCCATGAAATTCTTCATTGTAGAAGAGGCAGCCATATTCAATATCACTATGTACCTGGTTAGTTTATTTTTTTGCTCAGGAGCAGAGAAGACGACTTTTAAAGAAATAATGCATATTCACTATATAATCTATATAGCCCCAACCTAGCTCTAGAACCCCAGAGCCTGGGCCATGAAATTCACAATTTGGTAGAGGACTCATGCAATGCTAATTATAATCATGCTAACAGTTTGACTGTTTGATGCCCAGGAGAATGTCACAGGGTGAATAAATTAATATTATAATAAATACTATATAATTTATGTATTATTGATTTGTGACCTAATCTACTAATCATCATTTCATTAGCTTCATCATCATTTTACCTATACAGCATAGTAAATTACAATCCTCTGGAATTTACTATGTGTTAAGCTAGTTCATGAAGTCGCTCATTAATATTCATGGGGTTGAATGCTCATTGGTTGGTTTGAGAGTATAAAAGGTCAAAGGTGTTTGTGTCAGAATGGATTGAAGGTGTTTGATTGGTTGATATTTTAGTGTGAGAAGTGTGTGAGTGGTTTTACTAGTTTGGTACCAAAAAACGCATGCTTGGCGCCAAACACTACTAATAATTCAATCCACCCTAAGACAGTCAGGAGAAAGGAAGAGTTTATCTCCTCTCCATATAAACAGTCTTTTATTTAATAATAAAGACAGCTTTATACCTGTCTAGTCGGTCATCTTCTAACTTATTATTCTTGTTATATTCATCATCAAAGTCATTGAAATAGAAATACAAAAGAACCCACCAGCCATGCTGTTGTTTATTGATGGTGTAATAGATAGATATACTGTGGCTGTGACATACTTATAAGTTAATAAAATGATAACAATGTCGTATAATATGTAACTACATGTATGCTTATATGTATATATGCTATAATTCAGTGTGTCTAAACCTTTTTTTCTGAATAAAATTACCCTAAAACAAAACGCAAGGCTCTTGAGTAACATCATTTTGACATTTTATAATTTTACAACTGTCGCAGAACAAGATATTTAACTACATAATGTGTAGTATAATTAGTTTGGATGAAATGAAAATATTTGTTTAACGAGAGGAATTACAATTAAAGATTCATAAAGAGTTTCTAAGTATATAGTACCTTATATTCTCCAAGATACTCAACCGAACATGGCAATATAGCGGTTTTACCCTCCACGACTGTAATGTCGACAACTGGGGCATCAAAACGCGGGCAGAAAGCGATTTTAGCGAAAATATCTAAAGAAAAGTGTGAAAAAACATTTTATTTGCATTTGTTGCAAAATCACAGCTACATATGCACTTTTTAAGCTCACATTATTTTTCGCACAATTAAGGTCACATTCTTCCTATTAAAACTTAACTTTAGGCTTATTGTACTTCATTACGATGACATAACCTCAACATTATTAAATGATTCATGTCAAAGGTACATGTCCTTTTAAATTATTATCTTAGGTTTGTCAAAGTCGATTTTTAAATGGATAATCATCTTGCGCTTTAGAGTCATATTAATGTACAGAAAACACAGAATGAACATTAGCTGCATTGTGTCCGTGTCTAGGCAAGGCAAAAGTCTGCTTTTAAAAAACGGATACATTTGATTGACGAGAAATCACATAAAAAAAATGGAGAACTGTTATAATATATCAGTAAAGAGTCGCAGCTGCAGAACTCTAGCTCTCTGCTTGAGAAAATTCGGAGAGATAAAGCAGAGAGCTACAGATTGATGTATTGTAAAAAAAATCTTACAGTTTGATAAAAATATCTTGAATTTATTTTTATTCAAAACTGATCTAAACATTAATTTTTAAAAGTGAGGTCAAGATCGGAAAAGTTGAAAAAGCTTGTATATACGTATGAATCATCATATGTATTTTGATTACAGAACTTGATCAGTTTCTTTTAAATTCAATTAAACACTGAATTAAAGAAAGTCAAGGTCTAATGAAAAGTTAAGGTAAAAAAATGTGGATGTAGTTGGATGTTCATATCAGTATGCATCAACATATGAAGTTTGATTAAACTACGAGTATCTTGATTAAATTCTTTAAAACTAGCTAAACACTAGTTTAATATACATGTAAGTAAGGTCAAGGTTAAAGAAAAGGTCAAGGTAAAAAGTGTTGATGCAGTTGCAAAGCTTTCCTCAATATTTATTGGCATATGTGGATAAAATTTCTTGAATAGTTTCTTTGAAACTGATTTTTAAACTGAGCTAAATGCAAAGCAGGATGGAAGAACAGAGAGAAGGGTGGAAGACGGACATGACAAACACTATACATGTACACCTCAGCCTGATCATGGCGTCACATAAAATGTTGAATCTACACTATATGAGGATATTTCCATATCAAAATGACTAACAATGAAACAATATACAGTTAAAGAAGATCATTAAGGGAGTTCGAGCAATTTTGTCACCAGGACTATTTCCCGAGGCGCAGCCGGTGAATGGTGACGTTTTTGCAGGAGTAAAAATTTCTCGGATGGGACGAAAAACAACATCCAAGTAAAATCAATGATGAACATATCGGCAGATGAGTGTAAATTTACTGAAAATAGAAAGAAAATATGAAGATGGAATATAGCACAAGTACAGTTTTTTTTTATACCGTAAAACAATGACTGGAATTAAACCTGGCTTTTCTTTAATTTGTTCTTAAACTGCCCTGTTCACACGAAGAGTTTAATTTACAGTAAATTAATGCGAAGTAAACTAATGCGAATCAAATTAATGCGAATTAAATTGCGCTCAAACGACAGCTAATGCAAAGTAAATAATGCGAATGAAAAAATGTCTTCTACAGTCAGCCTTCAGTAAGTCTATTATGACGTCATTTGTAAATCACGCCTTGTATACGCATGCAGAGTCATCATGTAGTGGCTACAGGTATTCATTGATTTTAGTGATTAACATACTCTTCCTCAATTTGTGAACCAAATATAGCACAAACACCCTATATAACTACCAACACGTGTCCTGTGACTTAATTCTGGCCCTACGCATGCGTCAAAATTGAATTCAAATTAGCTTCCCTTAGCGTTCACACGGAGCTAATGCGAAGTAATTTAATGTGCAGTAAATTAATTCGAATTAAACTAATTAGCATTATATTCTCCGTGTGAACGCTAAGCGAAGCTAATTCGCAGTAACTTTACGTTTAATGCGAATTAAACTCTCCATGTGAAGAGAGCATAAACACCAATTAAATGTTACAATGATGAAATATAACTTGATCACCTCATATAAAATCAACATGTCCAGTTTGTGATAAAAACAAAGCTCAATGAAGTATTAGCCTTCAGACTTCTTGTTATATTTATCTTGTGTAAAAATATCGTACAATAGGGTCAAACTAAATGTGATCCACCACATTAGATCCTCGCCCATATTTAACAATGATAACCGATCCCACTGTCACAGCAATTCCACTTCCTAGCATCAGTTCACGCTCTACATTGAGGTTCACAGTTTATGCTTCTTGTCTATTTACATTCCGGATTACACCACTTTTAATACAATCTGACAAACACAGAGAAAAGAGCACTGCGTGTTCCCGGATCGAACGCCCCGCCTCTCGCACTGCTATTAAGTTTCTCATGGCGATTGACCAATGAACCGGCACCTTGCCACTGTGTAAACATAATTCAGGTCGAAAACAATTTTTTTGACTTGTAAATATTTCAGCTTTCTCTGTATACATAAAATGCAATACAAATAAATATATTTATATCAGTTCATAAATAAATACATTATTACAAAACAGCATTGCATCTTAATACCCCCCCCCCTCAAAAAAGACATTTTCATAGCACATGCATGTAAAGCTTGAGCATCATATGCTAAGAATATGTAATTTATTCCATTGAAAAAATTAAATTTGGATTGGGTTATAATGCAAGCAGTAATTTTAAACATTATATTTGTTACTTGGTTGTTTCTTTTTCACTTTATAAGAAAGATTTTGGCTCTGAACCAAAATTATGACCATAATTGACATTCCAAGTTATGTTGATACAATGTAGTTATTTCAGATATATTTGTTACTTGGTTGTTTTCCAATTATACTGAAACGCAAAAGAAACGCAACAAGCAGTAATCTACAAATGATTTTCAAAAATGAATCCAGTAAGGCTATACTCACTAATCAAAGCATAAGAAATTGGCTTAAAATGTAAATTGATTACCTATTTTTTAACTTTAAAAAGTACCAAATGACTGTTAAAACAACTCTTCCCCTCCCAGACAGTCAATTAAAGCGTTCGAGACTGCCCTACAACAAAATTGCAGCTTTATTTCTTCGATGCAATAAGTTCATCATTATAGAGGTCTGAGCAAAGAAAATTTTCTTTGGCATTTTTAAATGCCTGTTTTTCAGATGATATGGTCGAATTTTCTTTAACCTAACAAATTGTAGAAACACGTCACCTTCCAATCTTTCAATTTTGGCCTTATAAGTTTAGCATTATTGCTTAACGTACATCCTATATCTCAATTCAACAATAACATACAATATATAAAAGTTAAAACCTAGTCATAAAGTACGGTATATAGATTCAAACATTTTTCCTGTAATAAAATTGATATTCTGCGACAATACTAATTATATTTTAATTCATGTATTTTAATAGGAGGTTCATGTTCACTAAGTTATCAAATATAACACATGAATTTGATCTCTTTATTTAATAACGGTGAAAGAAAAATACACCAATTTACTAAGGAGGTGTGGGGCGGAGTCTTTTCAAACAATGTTCTTTTTATATCTGTTGCAAGCCACTATATAGCCCTTGGTTTTATTTTCTTCGTTATTTGTTTATTAAGAACATGTAAAAGGATGTAAAATATTTGCATTCACCTCATACAAAAACAGCTTTTGTTATATAGACAAATATCATGTCTTGTTTTACGTAATGGCATATTGTAATCGGTTTGCAGTGTTATATAAGTTCCGATATGCAGGGTGTTTCTATGAAGAACAAAAGAACGTTATTTGCTATATTCGACCGAGACAATTTAAAATTTTCCAACTACAGTTTTTTTTAAAAAAGTTCATTATGTTTTGTTTACAGCGAGATATCTTCTTTCTACTAAAAAAAATCACCACTTACTGTCCTTTTTTTGTTTTAGGTTCTTTAAAATATTTTTAGCGGTATGAACATTGATCAATCTCATGGCATCAGTCCATGAACAAATATACAACTAATCAATTACTTTAAACATTTTACTATTTAATCGTTAGTGTGATGACCCTACGTGTCTTTTTTTGTTTAATGACGTCATTTCTTCTCTGTATTTCCCCCATTTGCCTCAATACACTTTTCTTGACGAGAAATCATCGTGTTATTAAACGTTGATTGAAATCAATTTGTATGGCAAGCCCTTTTGCTATTAATTCGAAAAATAAAATTCATCTTAATTTTACAGATATATCTCTAAATTTAGAGTGATATCTCTTTAAAAAATTGAGATATTTCGCAACTTAAAGAGATATCTCGGATTTTTAAGAGATATGTATTTGAGAAAAATAAAGAGAACAAATAAAGAAAAATAAAGAGAGATATCTCTTATACTTAGAGAGATATCTCTTTTGATAAGGCTTAGTAAGAAAGATATCTCTTCCACTTGAACAGATATCTCCTTTTCTTTGAGAGATATCTCTTCCATGAAATGAAATATCTTTTTCACTTAGAGAGATATCTCTTTCACTTTTGGAGATGTCTTTCCAAGTTAAAGTGATATCTCTTAAAGAAAAAAGATATCTCTCTTAATTTATCTTTAGAGATATCTCTTAAAGTGAAAGAGATATTTTTCAAAAGAGTATAAAAGAGATTTCTCCCAAGCAAAAAGAGATATCTCTCTTCATTATTTTTATTTAGATTCTATTTAAAATGACTCCCCCCTTACCGGAAGTAAGCTTTATATCCACGGAAGTACATTAAAGTAATTTTAGATTTCAACGTATTCCTGATATTCAACATTTAAGCTTTACTATACATGACAAGTAATTCAGTGTTTTTGTTTTTTTTTTTTTTATTAGATTTCATATTTGTAATAATAATTGATTATTTCATAAGCTGAGAAAATTCGGTCCATTATATTTGAGATTATATAAATTAATATGCCTACTTTCGTTTTCCTGAATATTAAACTTTAAGCATTTGATCAACGAAGTTGATCATATTTATTTGTTGTTTCAAACACGTGATTTTTA